AAATAATTCTGATTTCAATCTAAATTGATTTATGTAAAAAAAAATGGCTTTTAGAGGATTACCAATTTGGTACCTTTTCACAACACCTAGCCTATTTATTCGATTTTTTTTTTAAATGGGTTATATTTATAGATCATTTTACATGACATCGTTCCTCTTGAGATCGATCCTAGTAACTTGCCCGAATCTCCTTTGTTGATCAATATGACCGCTACTGTGGTTGAACTGCCCCAAAATGATCCTCACCGTGAAGACGTCTCATTATCTGTAGAAACCAAAGATTTTATGGACCAGGGTAATACTACGCTTAAGTTGGAATGTTTTCACTTAAAATCTGCCCGACACCTTACCCCAACTACCACTGCTGTGAAAAAAGGATCAACACTCTTTATGAATGGTGACCTTACAGTTGTTGATGATAACTACGTTGTTCATCTTCGTGGTGTAAACTTCTGTGAATATCAGAAATCTATTATCAACATAAAAAATTCAACCAATCTCCCATGGTTAAATAAGTCAAGTGAAACATCAAAAAAAAATGAATCAACAAATGAACCCCCAAAAAAAGATGTATCAAACAAATCCCCGGAAAAGAATAATTCAGATGAACTTCCGGCAGATAAAGCTTCATCGGTCGAATCAGGTGCTGAAAAAGTTGCGCGTACGGTTGCTTCGAGGGTTAAGGGTGGTAGACGAAAAAAATCAACTGAAACTAAACCATACCCTAAATCAAACGAATGACCAAAGGTGACCGATCTTGCTAACAAAATGCTAGTCCAAAACCCAAATACTAGTACTTCCGATCCCTCTGTATCTTAAAATGTATATCTTAAGATGTTTAAAGCTTCTTTTACTCTTTTTTTGGTTTACTTTTTTTTTTTTTTACAATCAATTATTTGCTTTTATTATTTTTAAGTTATTTAGATCATAAGAATATGATTTATCTGTATATACTTATCAATAATTGATTATTTTTTCTTGGAATCAAATATAAATTATCTGTATGCTATATGTACTTACCAGCAATTGACATTTTTTCCTATAGTAATTATCATCTTATTGAATCATAATAATCTCATTGAATAATAGTATGTTCGCAATATATAAACATCTCAACTAAACAATTACAGCAGAGACAGTGCCGGTTTAAAATGAATCCTCTCACCTGTGATCAATCACGAATTGGATTATTATATTGAATTCGATTGTGATGGATATAATCCCTCACTGATTTTAATATACGTATAATATTGACGGTTTCTACTATTCTAAGCAATTG